TCTCTCTCATCTCTCTCTCATCTCTCTCTCATCTCTCTCTCATCTCTCTCTCATCTCTCTCTCATCTCTTTCTCATCTCTTTCTCATCTCTCTCATCTCTCTCTCCTCTCTCTCTCTCTCCTCTGTCTCTCGTCTTTCCGTCTCTCCTCTCTCTTCTCTCGCAGGAGGATCCGGGCAAAGAGCCACATATAAAGGACTCTTCACCCCTGCCTCCAAAAAGAGCGCCGTGTTTTTTCCTACCTCGCTGCCCTCCACTTTCCCATTCTGGAGCGCTAGCTTTCGCCCCCCCCCTTGGCCTCAAGTTTATGAAGAAGATTCGCCCTGGACCTGTGGCGGGCTTTCCTGAAGAATCTCATCATATATCTCACCACTAGTCACTAGTTAGTTGGTCGGGTCCGCCGTTGAAGCCCACCAGAAACACATTATGAACATCAATGGAGGCAGGAGGGCAGACATGGCCAGACAGAGAAGGCCAGATGAAGCTCCAAGTTGCCTTTCACACTCGCTAGCTAGCTCAAGATTTGTGGGACCATCTTTGACCCCTCAAGCTCTAAACCCAGGCTTGAGACACACTCAAACCGTGGCCGTTTCATGCTGAGATGTTCGCTCGGATCGCCCAGGTCTTTGGCAGCTCAGAGAACCTGGCCTCCCAGGCATCTTCTACGGTCGCTCGGCAGGATGCACTTGGAGTCATCACAGGCATCGAGAGAACACCCCTGCATCGGACGTAGGCCCTGAAGGGGGCTGTTTATACGCATCCGTCAGTACCTGTATATATATTATATATATATATAACTATAAAATAAAAAATACAACTTTTGGAAAGCTCGTGCATTTCGAAATTTTGTTTTGATGCATGTCTTCTTCCTTATGCGACACTCAAAGTAGTCACAGGAAATGAGACAAACACATGTGGGCAAACTGAAGTTTGATGGGCCAAAAAAGAAGCAAGAGAGCTTTTGCTCTTTAAAGTCTTCATATTCAGGATGATGTCTTGGTGTATTTGCATGTTTTTCATGTAGGGAGAGGTGTGTGGAACTGATCCTGGGCCTCAGGATGTGGGGTTGAGGATTTGTGTGTTTTGTGGAAGTTGGGAAGTTCCTTTTCTGATGGCGGGGGGTGCAGAACCTGGTTTTGTATTGAGTTGGTTGTTATGGTCGTTGACTGCTCCACAGGGCCACAGGGTGAGTCAACTTTTATTGACAAATCCATCTGGCTTGAGTGTCCCATGCAGTCCGAGTCTTGTTGAAATTGCCATCAGGTTGGCCCTGCAATTGCAGTCACTACGAAAAAAGATTCTACTATAAAGTCCCTTGATTATTAATAGACCTCCATATGGAGAGGTTTTACAAGCTGCATGGTGAACCAATCAAGAGTCTACAATATTCCTGGCATTTCTTGGCCCAGCATCAATGCCACAGCCGACCAGATGCTGGCCATCTATACCATGAGCGCGGCCTCAGCAGTGACGGTGGGCGGGATCTTGTACGACACCGCAGGGTGGCAGGGGATGTCCATCTTCCACTTGATCCTGCAGGCACCATGGTCACACACACGTGCTCGATGGTTGCGCATGTGTCGGTGTGTTATTGTGCATCCTCCTTTGCTCTCTTTTGCTAGACAAGTCCAGGACTAGAGGAGACATGTCGCTGTCCACATGTTCCAGGTTTGATTTAAGATCTGGGTCTCACCAGCTTACAGGGTCCTAACCGGTTCGGCATCGGTTCTTCTGGGTTTGCGGCTTAGGTTCCTGTAAAACCATGGAAAACCGCTTCGGTTTCGTTTCAACCAGCGGTTCCACAAAAAAAACCGCGGCCTTCTTCGTGGAACGCCCGGTTCGGTTTGGGCGCGTTTGGCGGTTCAACCTCGTTGCGCAGGCCATCCTCGCGTCCCTTGGCCTGCGGAGACGCCACGCTCTGCGCGCTACGGAGACGAGACATCCCAAGCGGAAGGTCCGGTCCAGGTGCTGTTTCGGGAGAGATGAGAGAGGTATCAGACAATAGGGTTTCGTTAACTTATATATTCCTCCCTACTCAGGTACACTGCACTTGTTCCGCTTGAGGCTGTTAAAGGAAGAGGTTTGCGGAACCAAATGCATGCAATGCAGGCGCCCTGACCACTTCGTGTAGATGTTCAAAGGGGTTACAGCTGCAGGAGCTTTGCCATCAACCGGACGGCTATTCCTGCCAAGGATTCTATTCATTGTGTCACCTCAATGCCGAAGCTCCTTCACAGAGTTCTTCCAGAAGAAGGCCAAGTTTCCAGTTACTTTGGAATCCTTAGACGCGGTTTCTGGAATCTGCCACTGTTCAATTCAAGGACTATAGACCCACTGTTTGTCTTCGATATTCTTCGACTCAATCCTCCAACTATAGAACATATTAAAAGGGTATTAACTAAAAGAATGCCTTTCTGCAGAATCATTCTGAACCGGGAACTCTTTTGCATCAGCTTGGGCGTGTTCTGTGCCCCCCCAACATCAGAAGACTGCAGCGTCGTGGAGATCCATCGCCCACACGGCTCACTCCGGTTCTCTCCCGGTCGGCACGGTCGGCACGTGAGAGAAAACCAAGACCGTAAGAGAAAACGTGCCTTGAGAGCCCATGGTTTGGACCATTCGGGAGGAACAAAACACGTCAAAAACACCGATGTCTTCATCTCGCGGCACTTCTGACCGTTACGACCCTTACGACCGTTCAAGTGAAGTCGACAGTCGACAGACCGGTTTCCGAACGACCGGTCGCAGCGCGGTTCGCGGTTCGGTTCGGTTCGACTCGGAAGGTCCACGAAGCGGAAGCGAAAGAGGAGGGACCGGAAGTGCCTCGGAGGGAGCTCCGAAGGAAGGATCGTTGGAGGGACCTCAGCGGGATGCACGGTCGGTTACCCCAAACTGCATCTCAAGTGCTTGAATTCTTCAACCACATGATTGGGCACCCAAGTTGATGAGGCTGTGTGGTCAGTTGGTGATTGGCGCTCCAGAGCTGGTGGAAGTCTTGAGGACTTCCTTTTGGCGCCAGGTTTGTCCACTGGTGCTGGTCAGTGTGCCAGCTTAGCTTTGGGTGAATGTAGACCAAGGATGACCAGGGATGGTACCGCTGATGCTACACTGCTGGTCATTAACATGTCATGCAAAGTGGACCTGGCCAAGACCAGTTTCCTCTAAGAAGGACCATGTTGCATCATGTTGCATCTCCATGTTACTGTCATTCTTAGTCACCTTCCCCTTCCGTGTCTTTTGTTGAATCGCATCAGAGATTCACCATTGAACTCGTTTCACGAAAAACAAACACACAGGTTGGACCCCTATTTCCGATGGTTTGTTTCTGATTCTTCTTTATGTTGGCAAGGTTTCTTTTCAACAGCCCCAGGATTCGATTGTTTACCTTACTCTCGACCTTCGACCTTTCCCAGTGGATACGATTCATAGGGAGTCGCCGAGCTGGTTCTAAAAGAAGGAGCCAGAGGTAGACTGGACATGACTGGACACAACCGACACCTGGTTATACCTGGTTCACCTCCCGGTGTTGCGGATCAAGTGATGCTTTTTCCTGTCTCGTTGAATCCCCAAACCTGGAGAAGATGTGTCCAGGTTCCAGCTCTGCAGCGCCAAGACCTGCTTCGAAAGGATTTGTCGTCGGGGCGCCACCAGGAACTGAGCTCTGTCGTCCCATCGGCGCCGACTACAAGTGGTGCTGCTGTGATCGAAGAGCTTCGGACTGAGTGGTGTCGATGTGGCGGGGTGGGACTGGGAGTAGAGAGAGTCATGTGGGCAACAAGAGAAAGTGAAATAGACAGGGAATCCCGGTGAATTCCTAAAATCGTCCGGCTTCAATTTTTCCGTAGCCAAGCTTGAAGCAAGCCACCAGTGGCCAGTGACTTATCCATATTCTGTGTGATCTATGAACAATATGAACAATGGACAAAATGGGGCATCCAGTCAGTTGGCTCTGGAAGAGACCCACATGAAGAGTGAACAATAGCCTTCGCACACCGGGCATGCCCCCCCGGGCACAGAGTTTGGACAGACCTGACTACAATCCATTCTTAATGACTTAATGCAGACATTGCTCGGTCAGCATGCACGCGCGCGCGCGTTCACTGGAAATAGGCGTTTCTTTGGGGCAGAAAAAGAAGCCTCAAAAACGCCTCAAACCGGCCTAGGATGGGTGTCTTGGGGGGGAGGTACCGCGCGCGCACCGCCGCGCCGCCGTCCAAAGGGGCCAGACTGGAGGTGAACCCGGGACCAAAGCCGGGGGCAACGCTTGTCCCGAGAAAAAACAATCTTGAAGGTCCCAGACCAGAATAATTTTAACACATTGTCATTGAAGCGGCAGTTTTTGTTCGGGCAAGTATTTGGCAACGTGACGGCTGAGTAACATGGCCCACCGCTCAACGGAGGCCGCTGTTGAGCCGCTCACGTTCATCAGCCTAGACTTGGGTCGGCGGATTGACCCTTCAAGTTCCAAGCCGTATGGGCATAGCATGCTCACGCGCAAGTCAAGTGTGCAAGTTCAACCTATTCAGCAAAAACCGCTGGTTCTTCGGAGCTTTTCTGGACCTCATCAGGAACCTACCTTGCCGGGCCTCGTCGAGGATGAAGTGCTGTCACCCCTGTACGAGGAGCTGCCGTGATGCTTTGGGGGACAGACGGGCCGAAAACGCCCCCCCCCCGCAGTGCCCCGCAGCCATGCAGGTCCGTGGGACTTGACCATACGGGTGCTCAACCCATTGATTCTTTGAGAAGTTTATGCAATCAATCGGCCAGAGTCCTTGAAACCGGAGTTGTGCCACCACCTTGGGGTGTTGGAGGGGTAAGAAGTAAGGCGGGCTCTTTTTCTTAATGGCCGCTCCCATTTGGATTGAAACACCTCGTTATATGGGAGGCCAGGGTTTAAAAGTCTACATAACTACATTATGTCAATTGTTTGGGACACTGGAAGTACGAGTCACGTACTAGCCACGAAGATACACCACTAGCGCTGTCTTTGCGATGCAGGAAGATGGTGGAGCCAAGTTCCTTGGCAGAGATGCCACTGGTGGAAACCAGAAGCTACACCAGTGGCAAAGCCGGCAAAGCAGGTGAGGACGCAAATGTCATGAGGTTCTAACCTGCCCACCCCACTGCCCACCACCCCAGAGAGTGAAAAAATACAAAATGTGGGAAACCCTTGTTAAGGGTGGATTAGAGACTTAATTGACCTCTAATCAGGCCCAATTAAGAAACCCTTATTTTCAACACCTACTCAGCAGACTTAGGCCACTATTAGGGGCCAACTGACCCAACTTGCTTATTTTGGCCTTATTTGTTTTCAACATAAAAACCGTTGTGAATTTTATGTTGTTTCCGCGATCATCCCTAATAAGCGCATATTTCAAAATTCATGCCGATTGGACGAAATCGCATCGAAAGGGATGTGTTGACCTCAAAAATTGCAAAACTTTACGGAGAAACAGGTCGATTCGCCAGTCGATCTGGGAGTCAACCGTGTTTTGGCCTCATGTCCATTTCACTTGAATCAACCCCACCTAAAACATTCTTCAGGTCAATCCCTAATAAGCTCTTATTAGGCATTGCCCTAATTCCCTCTTCAAGGACCACAGGACGCCCATTTGCAAAATCTTACGGCCTAAACTGCTCTTGAGAATGTTTCAGATCGATCCCTAATAGGCCTTACTTAGGCATGTCCCTTTTTCTTTCTTCAAGAACCCTGTGATTTTTATATGCTAAACGGGTAGTGCCTTATTAAGGACAATTCTCGATTTTACATAAAAAACAGCGTTTCACCCGTATGAGTTCTTAATTTGGCTGCATTTTTGGGGTGGTGGGCAGTGGGGTGGGCAGGTTAGAACCTCATGAAAATGTGTTACCAATCAAACATCAGATGCTCTGATCGTACCTGATCCACGGTGACCTAGACGTGAACCCCTCGGTTTTTAAACAACTTGCCAGGTCCTGGAGGAGATCGTTTCAGATACTGTAGTTCACTCAAGGCCTGCAACATCCTGCAACTGAAGTTGCAAGGTACTTCATGCATGTCTCTAGGGATGACCAGGGAAATCAAGAAGGTCCCCTGATGATTCAGGGGTCAGCCGATCAAGAACCTACCCAGTCGGTGGATAACCCTGGATAATCTTTAACTTAACCTTTTTGGGGGGATTGGTTTCCTTATGGAAAGTTTGCCTAAACTTTGCCTGGGGGATTCCTTTGGGGGGATTGTTTCTTTTTTGAACTAAATACAGTATCAACTACAGTATCAACATATGGAAAGTATGGTTCACCTTTTTGTTCCAGGGATTTCCGGCTTGGGAGTCAGCCTTTGGGGGGTTCAGTGAGAAGTCAGCCACTGGGAGGACTTCTGGACGCCGATTTGGTTCTCGCTTTAAAAAGCGGTCATGACTCCCAATCTCATACAACAGGCTGGGAGTTGGTTATCGGATTCTTTCTTTGGCACAATATCCCAAACTTGTTTCATCATCAAAAGATTGTTATAAACCGTGGGCCATCACTCCCACTGCTGTTGGATGCGGTCTTGACCTGCTTTGATCCCTTGAGGCCCTTGGATCGCTAGGGCCGCTAGGGCTTGGTGAGCACAGGTGAGCGATGGTGAACATGCCTCCATCCCCGGCAAGGTCTAGCAACCTTCGGGGCTCCATGCTTTCGGCCGGCGGTGAGGCTTCATTGACCCTTGGTTGTTCAAACCGTTCGGAACGTGGGCTCCGCTCACGGAGCTCACGGGGCGTTGCTTCAAACCCGTGGAGTGACCGAAGATCAGGCAGTTGATGATGACGATGCTGCGTATAGGCGTAGGTGGCAGGTACTGGTGGGTTGGCGTAGGATGCGTAGGCTGTAGGTGGAGGCACTTATTTATACAAGTTGTTTGCATAGGATTCTGCGGAGGTTGCTTTTGGAGTGCACATTCTAGAGAAACATGTTGGGCACAGAGCCAACTAGCAAGTGGGCTATTCTCCTCTAAAGCAGGGTTGATCATACATGAATCACCTTGAAGGCAAGACACCGAAGACAGTGGGTTCTTGGAGTCCTTAACGCACATTTGCACGGATGGCGGGTGTCTCGATTGGTTGTGCACATGTTTCGCGCCAAGTCGCATCCCCGTTGGGTGGGGAGAAGTTTCAAACAATGGCAGTGGGTCCAAGCAGGGTCTCACCCTGGGCCAGACCACCGAACATGAATCGACTCAGCAGTGGGATGTCAATCTTTGGTGTTCTGGGGAGGTTTTGACTCACAGCCATACAAAGCGGGAGAATTGTTTTTGTCATTTTTGTTCAACTCCTTTCATGTCGTTTGGTTTTCGTCTCACATGAAACCAATTGCTATATTTCTTACAAACTTCATTGAACAATACACCCAACACTGACAATGAACCGAACCGAATAACACCACCTCACATGCCTCACCACCTCATCCTGCCCAACGTCTTCGAACCTTTGTCTCGGTTCCACGCCTTTGCAAGGACAGAAGCGCAACCGTTTGGGGTTTCCCTAGCTGGTCTCCCGTTTGCTGCGCGCGGAGGCATCACACACCCGTTCGAAGCTCCAACTTCTCCGCCACGCCGAATGCATCGCCGCAGCGCGGCTCTGTCGGCGACTTGACCTCCCGACCCCTGGAGGGGTCCACGTGGAACCCCAGAGGTCCACGCCCTTTGGTATTCGGAAAAAGGTCGAAACCACCAGTCCGGGCTTGGAGCCCAGTTCCATGCTAGGAAAGGCGGGAGAGTAGATGATAGAAAGGTTTTGCAATCCCTTCTGTTAGAGTTAGAAGGTTTTTATCTGGGGAGGCTTCATGGGAACTGACTTTTTCTTCAGGCTTTTCCTTCAGAGGCCTAAGCGGAAGTCATAGACTCTGAGGTCTTTTGACATGACCTGGAGTGTGCCTCTCAAGCATTGTTGGGACAGTCTTGATCAGAAATTGATTGGACTTGGACTTGGCGTTCAGCATGGCGTGGCTTTTCTCGACACAAATGATTTCACTTGGATAGATAGCACCGTGAAGGATTACTGTGGTGGCCCCAAAGTTGAGGAGACACCAAAGCGCACCATGAACCATAGGGCTCGAGATCGCCAGGACTTTTGCTTTGTAGCTGTTTGTTCTGGAACAACTCAGAGCCCCAGTCTTCCAACGAAAAGAGAGGGGAACACCATTCTCAAAAGACCCCCCCCGCGTGCGATTCTCGGCTCCGTTCTCGCGCGAGACCACACGTTCTCGCGCCTCTAACGCACAGCGCTTTGAGCACCGCGCCTGAGGAGAGTTGAAGCGCTCGTCGATGCAAGACGGTCGATCCTCGATGCGCTCCGGACGCGCTACCGGACGGATGAGCCAACAGAGCAGGACTTTCGGGCGGGGGCGAGGCACTTCCGGCGGCGACAGTTGCGGAATGATCGGAATGGATGTCCTGGTGAACGCATCGGTGGTTTGGCTTGATTTGCTCATTTTTCCGGAACTGGCTAAATCACCTCAAGATCTGGGGAATATAGATGATTTAGGTAGTCTGGGGAATCAATTGATTCGTTGGGAAGATGAATCGAACGGTTCGACAAATCCAAGATGTGGTGCAGTTGGGTCGGATTAGGATTGTGGTGCAGTTCGGTCAGTCTTCGCGAGGACGTGAGTCGATCAGGTGTCGAACAAAAACATATCAAAAGGTGCATCAAGGGTCTCCTAGGGATCCAGTCGTACCTCCTCAGAAGGTGTTTGCGGTGGGTGCCAGGAGGGTCCAGGTGCCTTCTGAGAAGGTACGACTGGAATCCCTTATATATGTTGACTCTTGATTAAACTCCCCCCCCGGCCCCCCCCCCCTCAACAACTAGGGCCTCCAATATTATATATAAGAAAACTAATCAAAGGACAAAAACAATTAGAATCCTTATTAAAATCTTCTTGGCCTTCTCTGGCAATTGTTAAAATGTAAGAGAATCAATGAAATCTCAAATTGAAGACATCTGGAATACTAAAATAAAAGGACATCAATAACATCTCAATGGAAATCTTCAAAATTTATCTGAATCCAAAGACCTTCAAAAGCATCCAATACTTTTGAATAAGGGTTTCGTAAAGAAAGTGTGCACTGACTTTTGGAAACTTTTGGAAAGCTTAAAGACTAAAGAGCTTAGGTAAGTAAAGCAAATCAAAAGGAAAAGAAAGGGAAATCTTCAAATGTTTAATAGAAATCTCCATCCAAAAGCCGCCAAAAGCATCAAATCTCAATGGAACTCTTCAAATTTTTAATAGACATCTCCATCCAACAGCCTAAATCTCCATCCAGCAGCCTCCAAAAGCATCAAATCTCAATGGAAATCTCCAATGTTTAATAGACATCTCCATCCAAAAGCCTGTCAGACAAGCAAATCCCAGCAAACTCGAAAGGGAAAAAGTAAACTATAACAATTAAACATATTCCACTACAACTACCCCTGCCAAAAAACAAAGACATTATTCTGGGGGCCTTTATTAATCAGTGCAGGAAAAATACATTATTCTGGGGTACTTTATTAATCCAGGTTAACCATTAGGGGTCTATTATAAGATGTGTGGATGTCCAGTTGACTCCACGTTTGCCTCAACGTCCAGTCATCGCGACTCAACGTCCGCCTTGCGTGAACCCGCCTACCCGTGAGAAGAACTGCGGCAGATCCAGCAGATTGAGGTCATTTGATGTTTTAAACAAACGACAAGGCATGATAAGGCTGTAAGTGGTTATACAAAATGTGTATAATATATATAATATATTTATTTAATATATCAGTGTACAGGTCGGCACAGAGAAGCTGTGTCAGTCCTTTGCACAGAGCGAAGGCTCCGATCCGGGCCAGTCGGAGTCGGCGTCGTTTTTTTTTGGTTGGAGAAAGAATGCATGGTGAGTTTGTTGTTACTAGTAGCGTGGCACTTGTTACTACTAGCTTCTTGTTACTA